GCCCACCTCGTCACCGCCGTCCCAGGGAACCCTCGTCCTCCGCCTCCTGCCCATGGATCCTGTCCTTGTTGAAACCAGAGATCATCCGGAAATTCGTCTTCTGGTGGCTGAGCGTCGGCTTGACTGTCCATGGCGTTGCTCGGCGCAAGAGGGTGGGAAGAGGGAAGAACGGAAGAAACATGTAGAGAAGGTCGCCCGAAGGTCGGGTGGCGGGGACATCGGCCTGACTCCCCTCTTGGATCGAAACCACGCGCTCAGCTGCCACCGTGGAATGTACGGGAGTAGCTGTGTGGAAACCAGAGAGACACGTAGCACAATTAGGGGGACCCGTGCTGTAGAGAGAAAGAAAGAGAGAAAGAGAGAGAGAGAGAGAGAACAAAAGAGAGAGAGAGAGAGAGAGAGAGAACGAGAGAGAGAGAGAGAGAGAGACAGAGTGAGAAAGAGAGAAAGAGAGAGAGAGAGAGAGAGAGAAACAAAAAGAGAGAGAGAGAGAGAGAGAGAGAGAGAGAGAGAGAAAGAAAGAGAGAGAGAGAGAGAGAGAACACGTTCTCTGTTCTCTTACGGGGGCTCGCGCGCGCCCGCGGCCAGCGCGCAAAGTAGCTTAAGGGCCCTGCGAGCCAGAGCAGCGGCAGGGCAGTGGAGGTGAGAGCGAAGCACAGGAGGAGGAGAGGCTGGAATATGTATATCAGCCACAGAGTTTGAGGGTCCTCAGGTCTCTTGGAGATCTTCGTCCCCGGACGCCGAATGCCCAGATCTGCCGGGGCGCTCCTGCGTGCCTCCTGGAGCTTGGCGCACGTTCCCGCGTGAGTTGTTGTGGCGCCACGAGGGCTCCAAGAAATTTCAGGAGGATCCCGAGAGGCCCGCAAGGCGGTACAAAAGGGCCCCGAGACGGGAACCAAACGCTCCAAGACGCCCAAGCTCGCCTCCAGACGACCCAGGGGGCCGCCAAGATTTCCGAAGGGAGCTCCAAGAGCACTTCCGAAAGGACCCTCCCCAGAGGCACAAATCATTGATTTCCATCGGATCTTCAGCATTTGGGCATTCTTGTCTTCGCGGGTTTCCTGCGACGGCCCAAGCCGTCAAGATCATTCCAAGACGGTCCAAGAGGCCCCCACAGAGGGCACCCTGACGGCCCAAGAAGGCCCGAAGACGGCCCAAGAGGCCCCCAAGACGGCCCAATAGGGCCCCCAAAGGGGCCCAGGAGAGACTTCAGAGGGGGAGCGCGAGCCGACATTTCGAGCAGTCCCAAAACGACCCCTGGGACCGCCAGCAAGCCCCCGAGAAGCCTTCAAGAAGCTCCACGAGGCCCCCAAGAGGCCCAAAATCAAACCCCAAGGGTTTCTCAAGAGGCCCTGGAGAGGCCCCAGTGATACCCCAATGCAGCCCCCCCAGGCCCCCGAGAGGCCTCCCAAGGGATCCCCACAGGCATCCAATATGCATCTGACCTACAGCCATGGACCGAAGGCCACTATCTATTTGTTCATGTCCTTCAGTGCTGCCCAGGCCACGAAGAGGTCACTGGTATCCCTGGCCCGTCCGAGCCAAAACAATATGTATATGGACCTGGCGCGCTCCGACAAACACGCCGCCTCTAGTAAACATCTCGAATGCGATGGAAGTCGGCCCAAGGTTCCACCAACGCAGACATATTCATATGATTAAGGCTTGAGACCCCCAGGGTCTCATCCCGCAACATCACATACCATACGGGGTCACGCCGGAAAGAGTTCTACTCCATAGCTCCGAAGAAGCCCTACGCTATGGTCTGGAACTTTTGCTTAGCGTGTCTGGGCGGCGGCCACGGCGACACGCTTTCTCCTGCAAGCGAATAGCATGTCGCTCCCCTCCGGGGGGCGGGAGGCAAGGAACGGATTGGACCGTTGATGCTCGGGTTAGTGTGTCGTGCCAAGGCGCGGTGAGCCAGAACCGGCGGCACGACAGCTAAACACTAGTTCCCGACCGTACGTCGTAGTGTCCTCCTTTTCGTAGAACCCGCCCCCCGGAGGACAAGAATGAGGACGCCGACAAGGACGACGACCAGAAGGCGGAGCTCAAACTACTCGTGGTCGCTCTCGGTTTGTTCGGTGTGTGTGTGTGTGTTACGTCCGATCGGTGCTCCTAGTTCATATCGCGGGGGATGTGTGGCCCAAACGGCGCGCATCTTGTGACAAACCGCCCTTCTGGGATCATCCTTTCCCTCAGGGATACGGGCGCGCCTCCACGCTTTCACCGTCTCCCGCCTGAACCAACGGCATCCAGGCCAACATGTTATTCTGACGGACAACAGATCGGCACTAGATACGACATCGAACTTTTACCCCGCGCCTCCTCCTCCTCCGTCATCTCACTGTAATGCTACCGTTGCGCCTTTCCCTTCATGCCGGCAAAGGCGAGTGGCAACGACTGCAGCACCGAGGCCTGGGACCCGCCTGGGCGCTCAACACACACACACAACACACACAACACACAACACACAACACACACGCACGACAAACAACACACACGACACACACACAACACATAAAACATCCACAACACGCACACACACACACACCGACACACATTAACTAGCTAACCCCCACACATACCCCATGCACACACACATACCTACACCGCCCCCACACACACACCCATCCACCAACCCATCCACCCACACACACCCATAATCACAACGCGCACACCCCCCCACACACGCACACATACACAAGCACACGCAGCCATGCGCACACACAGGCACACACATAGACGTAAACACAAAACACACACACACACGCACGCACGCACGCACGCACTCACGCAAACACACAAACACACACACACGCACACACACACACACGCGGTCACACACAAACACACACACCCACACACACACATCCACACACACACGGTCACACACCGACACACCCGTACACACACCCACACACACACACTTTTCGGCGGTAGCGGCCTCGCGCGCGGCGGCGAGGCGCAGAAAGTCGAAGCGGCGGAGCGGGCGCGGGCGGACACACACGTACACACAAGACACACAGCACACTCCAGACGTTCTCATTCACACACACACACACACACACACGCACGCACGCACGCACGCACGCACGCACGCACGCACACACACACACACACACACACGCGCGCACCCACAGATGCACACGCACATGCACACGCACACGCAGACACGCACACGCAGACACACGTTTGTGTGTGAATGTGCTTGCGACCCTCGACCCTTTGTTGACCGTCGGCCTTCGGTTGTCTTGGGCAACCCTCGGCGGCCTCTGGAGGTCTTCCGCGCGGGGCAGAGGAGCAAAACACGGCGTGGCCCACACCTTTCCGGAGGTCCGCGCGGATTTCTTTGATCGGCGCTGGAGCCCCTTCCCTGGCGCGCTCGCCGAAGGTGGCGCGATGCCCCAGCGTGGATCTAAGAAGTTCGCGCGAAGCTCCAAAAGCTTACGCTTATGCTGTTGTTTCTTCTTCGAGCAGCTGCGCTTCACAGTGCGGGTCATGGCCGAACAGCTGGCAGCCAAGGGCTCCTCGGCCTGCTCCTCCTCCTCCTCCTCCTCCGCCTCCTCGGACGAGGACGCCTTCTCGGGAGCCTGCGGCCGACGCGGCTTCCACAACCACGACGGGGGCGGTCATGGCAAGCAAGTGAAAGGGGGGCGGGGTGTACATGGTAAGGCTTCGGATTGCTCATACACCCCGAGGTAGTCCGGGCTGGTCTCAGCACGCCCCTCGAGTAGCCCTGGGCGGTCTCAACACCCTGGCGCAGCCTCTGGCGGCGCCCCTGGGGCGTTCCGCGCCTCAGGGCTGAAGTGTTGAAACCGCCCCAGACTACTCGGGGTGCCTGTTGAGGCCAGCTTGGACTGCCTGGGGGCTGTCTGTCTCGCACCCCGACGCTTTAACAGGTTCGCAAGATGAAAGACATGGGGGAAGCTAGGATGAGGAGGGGGGATGAAGATGCGGAGAAGGACAAGGAAGAGTCGAGCTCGGTTCTTCCCCCGTTCTCCGATCACCAACTGATCAGGACCATCAACCTGCTGCAACATGGTGTTTCGAAATACGGGACATACCCCGTGGATTGGACCGCCTAATCGTGCAACCAAGCTGAGTGGCACTGCGGGCACGCCATGTTTGAAACATGCGAACACTGCATACGGCTAAACGTGGGCAGATGCCGAAGAGTCAGACCATAGACATGCCGTGGATGTCGGCGTTCCTTGGATTATCTTGCCCGCTGAGCGCCAGAAGCTATCTGTCTGAGGCTGCAAGCATTGAAGTATTGCGAAAGTGAAGGGCAACGATAGGGGATACTTTGCTCATTAGCGAAACATATAGCTTGAATCGGCGATGCATCGCCAATGGATCGGTGAGAAGCCCCCGATGGCAAATCCGCGCGGTCATAAGCGGAGTAGGCTATCGAGCCCCAATTGGTGATGAGTGGGCGGTTGGGGTCGATGCATCCTCCCCTGAGCCTATCCCTCCAAATTTTGCCCCGAAGGAGCAACTCACGCCAAACCCCACAACAAGGAACCAGCGGAAACCAATCGTCAACCATGGGCTGACGAATAAGCATTTGCGAAGAGAAGACGGAACTTCATGCCGTTCCACAGTCTGCTGCTCAGAGACATGGCGGGCAGCCGACTCGCGTGTTGCGCGCACGCCAGCCTGGCTAACACGAGTTAGCCCCTGATATCTCCCTCGCAAACCGGTAGTTTATATTGAGCGACATGTTGACAAGCTGCAGAACTGTTCTGATCGGGCGTTGGTAAAACACGCTGAAGGCCATGAGCATGCCAATACACGCTGTGGGCAAACGAGCAGAGAAGCTGGGGGGTAGGTGGTAATGCCGCGGTCGATCTATAGCCAAGCTGCGATCATGCCACAGGTCGACTAGGCAGGTTTAGCAGCTGCGAGCGTGCCAATGTACCACCAGGGGCATGCGACAAAACACAAACACAGTAGGAAACACATGCGATGCGCGGACGGGCGACTCTGACAACGGTTCAAAGCCGCAAGCAATCACGATACCGGCTGCCTCTCTCAGGCATGCCTCTGTGAGTACCGAGGCTACGGCTGCCCAGAAGCTGGCCCTCTTCGTCGCTGGGATGATTGGAGGCGTCGGCCTCCTGCTCCTCTTCTTCGGAGGAGCTCGAGCTGGACTTCTTTTTAGCCGCCTTTGATGACTTCGCCGCCTTCGAGGACTTTGCATCCTCGGTCGCCGCAACTGCAAATCTGTGCGCTGCAACTCGGGCCGATCAGAGCACATTGTATTCATACGCTTGGGGGAAGGGAGGTATGACGCACCAGACAGCGCTTTGCACCGACTCGGCCTCGACACCACAATATCGACACAATCGAGTGCAACTAATCCCTTAGAAACAACAGCTCTAACTGGCGGCCTGTGCACTTGGCACCTGTAGCATGATGAAAGAAACTTGCCGCTCCAGTCGGTATGTCGAGCACACCTTTCATTCGAACCCGGCTCCAGAATGCCAACGAGTCCACGACGCACAGGTGCACACATGAGTCCCGTGAGGTCGCTGCATGGCGTGGAGGAGGGTTCATCCTTTCGTATAGAACAAGCCGCTCACGTGATCGTTGGCCCCTCCACAAGACCAGACGTAACATCTAACACACGCGGCCGACAAGGTCCGCCCACGCCGCTCATTGCGGCGAGACACGCAGCCCCAGTTGGTTTCGTGTGGCGACGGTGTGTCCACAGGTCCAAGCCGCCAGGGCGCATACCTGAAGGGGCCCTGGGACACACAAGTAAATACACGCAAATGACCGGATTCCCCATATGTTCATATATTTTCTGGGTTTTTGTCTTCCCCCCCCCGCTTCCCATATTTTTCAATATTTTCATTGGAATCGACGATTCATTGTGTCTGTGTGTTTTTCTCCCTCCTGAATACCATTCGCCATCCTCTCCTCCTCAGCTCCCCACACGGATCACGGATCTGTGGGTCCGGCGCGTGGGCGCCAGAACCACAGATCGGTGAGACAGCCCCCCCCCTGAGACATGGCGCCAATGCCGCCTGATTTGGCGACGGAGCGGAGCACGTCGATCATCCACGCGCCTGATCCATATTTGCGCTTCCTCGATCATCAACATCCTGCTGCCCTGCTGACCGTCCTCCTCCTCCTCTTCATTCTCCTCCCACTCTCCGCTCTTCTCTCCTCCTTCTCCTAAGCCGGGGTTGGGGGGTAAGGTCGCACAAGGACGGGGAGCCCCCCCACCGGGAAATCAGTTTCAATTTCGTGTTCGTGTCGTCGTGAGTGCGGGCTAAGCGAAACTGCGTGGATGCCGGAGTGGAATGATTTCGCCGTCGCTAAGGCGATTCAGATGGAAAAGTCCGGCCCTCTGGTGGGCGCGCGGTGGCTCGGGGTGTCCCGCCGTGGTGTCTCGCGGTGTGCTAGTAGTGTAGTAGTGTCCCACGGTGTCAGGCCGTGGGAGCGCGAGAGGAATGATCCCGCCGTCGCTGAGGCGATTCGGTTGCAAAAGTCTGGCCCTTCAGTGAGCGCGCGGTGGCTGGGGGTGTCCCGCCGAGGTGTCCCGCGTTGTCCCGATGGTGTCCCGCGGTGTCCCGCCGTAGTGTCCCGATGGCGTCCCGTGGTGTCCCGTGCATGGTGTCCCGCGGTGTCCCACGATGTTCCAGTGGTGTCCCGCGGTATCCCGTGGTGTCCAATGGTGATCCGCAATGTCCCGCGGTGTCCCGCCGTGGTGTCTCGATGGTGCCCCGATCGATCGCAAAATCGATCACGGCCGAGGTGTGAGATTTGGCTCGATGGTCCCGATGGTGTCCCGATCGTACTCAGCGCCGCTCCGTGTGAGATCGCTAATTTGATCGATCGATGGGTCCATCGATACTAAAACTGGCTGTGAGGTCTATGGTTAGATCGATCGAGTGATCTCGATTGTGGGGCCGATCGTGACATCACATCGCGGCGCAAGATCATCATCATAAGCATCATCATCAGCATCATCATTAAGCGTCGTCACCAACTCGAGGGCGCGCCACCAGCATCGTCATCATCATCACACCCATCGCAGTTGCCAGAAGATGATTATTTCCCCTCCACTCACTCTCCGTTTCACCCGAAGGGTGGTCATATAGGTATGTACGATTCCTCGATGTCGTTCTCCTCCTCCTCCTCCTCGCCCCTCATTCTCCTCACAATTTCATCTTCCTCGTCCTATGTGTCCTCCTCCTTGTCGCTCGCCCTCATCCCCCGCCCCTCCTCCCCCTTGTCCTTCTCCTCCTCCTCCTCCTCATGCTCCTCCTCCTCCTCCACTTCCTTCCTCCTCATTCCTCCTCTTCCTCCTCATCATTCCTGCTGCTCGTCGTTCGTCCTTCTCCTCATTCTCCCTTGCGAAAGCCACGATGCTGACGCCGATGCCGATGCCGACACCGCCGACGATCTCATCTCCGCTCGCCATCGCGCCCCTCAGGGCGGTGTAAGAAGGGACGTCCTTGACAGCGGCCTCCTTCTTCGCACGCTCCTGGGACGAGGAGGAGGAGGGACAGGGAGGGGGAGGAGGATGCGAAGGGGAGGGGGAAAAGCTGGAGAGGAGGGATGGGGGGGGGGAGGGACGTTTTCCTTCACCTCGATGGTCGCGCTTGGAGAGGGTACTCCGGCCATCGTGCCACCAGCAAAAGCGCCGAACGAGGCACCCATGGGGCTTGTCTGTCCACGGCAAGCGGCGGCCCCTGCCCAAACCTGAGGACCCTAACGAGCGCCGAGTGAGGAACGCAGAGCTTGTCTGGCCCCGGCAAGCCGCGGCCCCAACCTGAACCCAGGGAGCTGCCCGAACGCCAGGGCGCCTCCTGAGCCCAGGTGGCCTCTACTCCAGTGTCTTGACTGCCCTCACGCGGGGTCCCTGCGCGACGCGGGCAAGCGTGCCGGCCGTTCCCAAAGACCGATGGGTTGCCCTCTTGTGCCGCCACGCTCGGCACCCAAGCGGTCGCTCCACATTCGCGGACAACGGCTGCCCCCTAGAATGAGACGAAGCCTGGACGAGGATAACATCGGGTGAGGATAAATCGACAATCTCTGAGATCCGGCGGCTCTGGAGGATGTCTCGCGCACCGCGGCCTCCTCAGAGCGCTTCGGAACGCTCCGAGAGCTTTCTTGAACGCTCTGGAATGGATTCATCCTCGTCCTAGCCCCATCCGGTAGAAGCCCGGCGCACGGCAACTCGGCCGGGGGTCGGCATGGGCGACTGCAGTGGCTCTGCTCGTCCAGGGCCACATGACTGAGCCTTGGCCATCGCAGGGTGCCCCGGCGGCGTGCCTCGCGGCCCAAGAAGCGGCCCTGCCTGCTGCTCGGCAAGCCCTTCTCGCAGGGCCTGGCCGGACTTCTGGGGGTGCCACCCGTGCTGACGACGCAGCCGCCACTGAGGCAGGCCGTCGGGGCAGGGAGGAAGGGGGGTGGATTATGAAGTGGGATGGCGCCGCGGAAGACCGGGGTGATCATGATGGTTGAGGCCGTTGCGGGCAAGACTGGTGGCCATATCCACTGCAGCTTGGGATCTCGGGCGCCCTTCCGCCAAAACCGAAGGGACACTAAATATGGATAAAAGCCTGCCCCATGGAAGCAAATTCTCATCCACATCCAGCGCTCCTCGGCCTCGTGGCACCCCTTCCGTGAAGGTCCAAGACGCACTGGACACGAACGTAGATCTTGCCCGCAGTGATGGTGATGGTGAGATACGGTCAACAACTTTTAGATAGCTTGTCGCGGCGGCGGCTCCGGAGACGCGCTATGCCTTGCGAGCGGATAGCGTGCCGCCCTGCTCCGCGGAGAGGGAGGCTCGGAAAGGCGCGGGACGTTGACGCCTGGGGACTGGGGTGGGGATGGCGCGTCACACCGAGGCGAGGTGGGCAAGAAGCGGCGGAGCGACACTCTATCCCAAAATCCCCAAAATCGTAGTGGAGGGTGGGGATGGGAGCGGTCTCCCTGGCCTTCTCCTTCTCGCGCTCTTTCTCCCTGGCCTTCTCCTTCTCTCGCTCCCTCTCCTTTTCCTTTATCTTCTCCTGCCGCGTTGGACGGGAAGGCACAGTGCCACGAATAGATCGACAAGGAGGGGGAGGAGAGGGGGGGAGAATGGGAGCGAGGAGGATCGGGTAGAGGAGGAGGAGGCGGAGAAGGGGGAAGCGTTAAACATGAGGAAGAGCGGGACTATGGCGACGAACGGGCCCACAGCAACCCTTTACAAACTGGATGTAGAATAACGCCAGCGATGCTGTAGGACACCCTCGCGTCCCAACTTCCCTCCTCGTAAATCCAAAAGCGAGCCCTTGAGAAACGAGCGCCCCCATGGTTCCACAATCCAGGCGTGCCCCCTAGTTTTGAGAACGAGCTGCCCTCCATGCCCCTATCTATAAGGACTGTGGCGAGATAGGGCCAGACAATCCGAGGAACTGCTTCTGCATATCTTCGCTTGAAAAAAAGCCGCCATGCATCCGTGTATGATCCCATTGTGTTGATACGTCGGGTCATACAACATACGGAAGTCTTAAGTGACAGCTCCGGTTTGAAAAAGGGCCACCCTCCATCGTTGCAGCTCTCTCACAACTTGCGAGTTTTGATCACCAGGAGCACGCAAGCCCCGCACGAGCAGTCAACGGTCAGAAGACGCCGCCCTCCATCAGTGCAATTGTTGTAAACGTTTGACACGAATGCGCGGGGAGCTATGGCGAGAGCTACATTTTGAAAAGGAGCCGCCCTCCATGCGTGTGACTGTTGGAAAATGTTCTGGATGTGCGTGGCGCGAGGGGGAGAACAACACTTTGGAACGGAACCACCCTCTATCCATGTAGATTCTCAGGAGCCTTGAGACGACCATGCACAGAACCCATGCGAGAAACACATCGTGGCTAACACCCCCTCGGTCCGTGCAACTGGTGGGAACGATTGAAAGGGAGAGCAATAGTTTGAATACCGCCTGCCTGCCATTAGTGCAACGGCTGGGAACTTTTAAAAACCAAATGCTCGTGGCACTAAAGCAAGAAACCCAAGTTGAACACCACCTCGATCCATCCGTGCAACTGTCAGAAATGTGCAGCGTCGGGGGCATACACTGGGAGGACATCTGCGAGACGCCAGGCCCACCCTACCAACACGTCTGATGTTCAGAGGAGGGGGTCGAGGGAGAGGTGGGGAGGAGGATGGGAAGGAAGCGAAGGGCGAGACGGGGGAAGAGTAGGAAGAACAAGTGAATGAAACGGGGGGGAGCAATTGGGGGTGAGGGCTAGGGGGGAGGGGGAGGAGGAGGAGGAGGAGGAGGAGGAGGAGGAGGAGGAGGAGGAGGACGAGGAGGAGGAGGAGGAGGAAGAAGAGGAGGAGGATGAGGAGGAGGAGGAGGCGCGGGGAGGGGAGTCGACGGAGTGAGGGCCGAGAAGGAGGGGGAGGAGGCGCAGGTCGGATGGGATGGGAATGAAGAGGGGGGAGCAAGCATCGGGAGGAAGGAATACGGCGCTGAAGAAGAGTAGATGCTCTAGAAACGGTTTTGACGGTCAGCCCCTTTGATGTGAGAGGCTCTGCGCGGTGGTTGTGAACACGCTTACGGCCCGTATCAGAATTGTGGTGGCAACTGTTCGAGATGTTTGCGACATAGATTTCGAGGTACGTCGCTGTGAAAAGGCGTTCAGGGGCGTACCTTGTGAAAACGACCGCAGCTGGCGTGAGAAGTTGTTGGAAGCTGATTGTGACAAGTTTTCCGCGTGATTTGGCAAGCCTCGGTGTTTTAGTTGTAATTAGCTTGCACCCCTTCTCGCCTCGTCCCTGGCCACCCCTCGTTGATTTCTTGTGAGGCCACCGTGCCGCTGCTGACGCCGCCTTTGCCCCCGACCGCGGCACCGCCGGGGTGACCCCCGCGCCCTCCACAGGCAAAGTTTCCTTGTGATTAGCGTCACCGAAACTCGGGCCAAATGCTGGTTTTGTTGAGCGGAACGACCTGCTCAGCCAGACCGCACGGTGAGGGCGGTGGATAAGAAACCATTGGATGAGGAATCCAAGGACCGGAAACTGGTGGAACTCCAATCGTGTTGGCCATGAGTCTGACCGGCGCCTTCATCAGATGAGGAATCCTCCAGGGTCTGATGCCCTCTGGGCACGTTCCTGAATCAACGCCCCCACCGTAGTGTCTGGGTGTGTGTGTGCCACGGAGAAGGCCAACAGTATCGGCCACGCGGCTCGGACGAGAGGTCAGCAAGATGACTTCGCCAGACCGTCTGCATGCCACGCGGTGGGCCGAGCATCGGCCACGCGGCCGAGGGTGGAAGGAAGGCGACAGGGGGGGGAAAGAGGATTCTGAGCGAACGAAGCGGCCGAGCTGGATTGGAATCGCTGGGATGACGATCGGGGAAAGGGAGTAGCTGATGAGGAAGCGGCGGCAACACACGCGTCAAACGGAGGCTGAGGAGCATGACCAACGGCCCGTTTTGTTGAACATTCACGCGAGCGAGAGCGTACCCAGACCTCCAACGTCCTACACAATTTTGCGGCGGCCAACTTTTCAGACATTAGGCCTTTGGGGTGCCGTCTGGGGCCATCACACGACGAGCCGCGACGAATAATTGGTCCAGGGGGGATGAGGTCGAGAGCTCCGCTGACTCGCGTCGTGGAACAAATTGCCGACGGCCTGGGTAGAAGCAATCAAATGTGGAGCTGCCTTCTCTTTTTCTTTTTCCTTCTCGCGCTCTTTCCTAGCTTTCTCCTTGGGGTGTCGCCGGCAATACCAGTTGCTAGCATCAGCCACACGCTCCTGCTGGATGTCATGTGGCTGTTCCTGGACGGTTCGCAGGCCTGGGCGAGCGATCATTCAGTGACAGTCCTTCGGATGACAAGGACCCGCGCAAGTTGAATCAGTGGAGGTGGATAGCGACGCCAAGTTGGTCGGCGTGACGACATCTAATCGCCTGCGTACAGAGCTGGCTCAATGACCAGAGCTCGCAGAGGATACCCGTCTAAAGCTGCGAATCGTGTGCGGCTGGTTTGATGAACGGCAGCCAGCTCATACCCCTAGACTGGCACTGCAGACGTGACATATCCAATCCAATCCTAGTCGAGGATGCCACGCTCAAGCAACTTTTCAACCGCGTTTTCTGCCAAGACGTCCTTCATGCATGCACGGCTTTCTTGTCTTGTCTCAAGGCTCGCGCTGGCACACACCACATCAAGGTAGTTAAGCTGACGTTTTTATGGCAAACTCCAACCATGGAATCATTGGCTGGGGAACTGCGGGCTGCCAGTGCGGCATGCTTGGAGCACGCGCAGTCCTGGGCCCGCCTGAAGAAAGCCGCCGACCCTGTCAGCGTGTGTCAGGGGGACTTCTGGGCCAGTCGTCCGGGGCTGATCGAGGGGAGACGCCTTTGCGTCGACATGTCTCTTCGCCTCCTGGCAGCCTCCGTTGGCTCTCCAAGCCCGCCGGCCCGAAGCGAATCGAAGCATGCCGTAATCGAATCGAAGGGTTCCGAGCTCTTTCCCTACGGCGGGGT